AAAAGGCCAAATCGGATTCAAGGAGCCAGAAAAATGGAATCTCGTCTACAAGCGACAGTGCCGGTGCCAGTGCCAGTTCCGCCGCGGCTCAAGTCGGGAAGCTTCTAGGCACGTATGAATCTGGCAACCGGATCACATGCATGAAGGCGTTTGTTATGCTGGCGCCTGTTGCGGGAGAGTTGGATGAAAGTGATATTTCGGAGAGTGACGAGGGGCGAGGAGAAGGGAGCGAAGAGGATAGCAGTGGTTCAGAGAATGAGGATTAATATGATGCACATGCACATGCCCCCTCGTTATATCGAAGTTGTTTTTACTGTGTATAGTAGGCAAAAGAGAAGCCTTCGATCTTATGTCTGAGTGTACTACGAGTACCACATCACAACAATACCAATTTAGTATAGTGTTACTGTTACATATTCATCAAAAATCACCATTTCTTTACCCAGACAATACAATATGCATAAGTACAAGAGCCTTGAAAGCTAGAGTCTTCTTCAGCATACGGAATAGCTACCTTTTTAGGGTTGATGAGTCAGAGTGCTGGACACGTGACCAATCTGATCTCACTGCGGAAAAATTGACAACGGGCGACAACAGATATAAGATCTCAACATCCAGACGCCAGACTCCATACACACCTGAGCCTATCTTCGCGCTTTTTAGGAGCTTCTCGCACTCCGCGTACATTTATTCTGTTTGCCAGTTGCAGCAGAAGGGAAGCAATATACCCTCCCCCACTTCAACCTGAGAGACATTCCGACGGCACCCCACAGATAAGGTTCTCGCCAAAAAAAATACCTTCAAGCAATATATCCATCCTCCCCGCTCGGCGATCAACCCAGGCCTGCAAATTCAGACAACCGCAACAACAACTATAAGCTAGGCTATCGAATATTAAACCGCCACCATGGCTACGCATAGTGACTATTCTGACGACGATTCCCATCCAGGCTCTCCCGTAATGGGCAACGCCAATAACGCGGACGACATCGAGGACCAAGAACCCCTCGATCAAGACCATGACAGCCAGTCCCTCAAATCCGCCATGAAGCAACGATCTTCGCTGCCCCCGATGGCCGCAGAGAAGAAACCCGAGCTTCCAGAACAGCCAGACCCTCAGACTCTGGACCTGTCCACCCTAACGCCACTGACACCTGAGATCATCGCACGGCAAGCGACTATCAATATTGGCACCATTGGGCACGTCGCACACGGCAAATCGACGGTGGTGAAGGCTATTTCTGGTGTACAGACAGTCAGATTCAAGAATGAGCAGGAGAGAAATATTACCATCAAGCTGGGTTATGCCAACGCCAAGGTCTACAAATGTGACAATGAGGAGTGTCCCCGCCCGGGCTGCTATAGGAGCTTCAAGAGTGAAAAGGAAGTGGACCCTCCTTGCGAAAGAGAGGGATGTACAGGCACATATCGCCTTCTCAGACACGTTTCGTAAGTTTTATTTTGACTCACATGGGAGTTCCTTTTTTTTATCTTTACTACTACTCTTATATAAATTCCAAGGCTAACGGATGATTCACCCAAGCTTTGTTGACTGCCCCGGACACGACATTCTCATGAGCACTATGCTTTCAGGAGCAGCTGTCATGGACGCAGCTCTACTCCTGATTGCCGGCAATGAAACCTGTCCACAACCACAAACATCAGAGCATCTGGCCGCAATCGAAATCATGAAACTGAACCACATCATCATCCTCCAAAACAAAGTCGACCTCATGCGCGAAGACGGTGCCCTACAACACTACCAGTCGATATTAAAATTCATCCGCGGCACTGTCGCGGACGGCTCACCCATCATCCCCATCTCTGCCCAGCTGAAATACAACATCGACGCCGTCAATGAGTATCTTGTGTCGCACATCCCGGTGCCCGTCCGCGATTTCCAAGCCGCCCCACATATGATCATCATCCGGTCCTTCGACGTCAACAAGCCCGGTGCGGAGATCGAGGAGCTCCGCGGCGGTGTCGCCGGTGGCAGTATCCTAACTGGAGTGCTCAAACTAGGCGATGAGATCGAGATCCGGCCCGGCATCGTCACCAAAGATGAACAGGGCAAGATCCAGTGCCGACCCATCTTCAGCCGCGTTGTCTCCCTCCTTGCCGAGCAAAATGACCTCAAATTTGCCGTACCCGGCGGCCTCATCGGTGTCGGAACTCGGGTCGACCCCACCCTCTGCCGTGCCGATCGTCTCCTAGGTTTCGTCCTGGGCCACCGCGGCCGTCTGCCGGCCATCTACACCGAGATCGAAGTTAACTATTTCCTCCTCAGACGACTGCTAGGTGTGAAGACCGCGGACGGGAAACAGGCGAAGGTATCCAAGCTGGCGAAGAATGAGGTGCTCATGGTTAACATTGGCTCGACGGCTACGGGCGCGAAGGTGATGGGCGTCAAGGCCGATGCGGCCAAGTTGAGCTTGACGAGTCCTGCGTGCACGGAGGTTGGGGAGAAGATTGCGCTGAGTCGACGGATTGATAAACATTGGCGTTTGATTGGGTGGGCCAATATTGTCGCGTAAGTTTTTGTCTGTTTCTATCCATTCGTTCTTTCCTTCCCTTGAACTGGTTGTTTATTGTCGCCCCGGTCGCGTTTCATGTTCAGCCTTTAATATATACTAATTATTTTTACTCTAGTGGTAACACACTTGAGCCAATTGCTGACTGAGCGATGCCTTCCACTGTGGTCACTATGCTATTCTTGTCAATCCCCCTCAAATATATCGCATCCCGTCCAACCAGGCCACCACAACGCGTAGAAAATGAATTAGAGACCCGGAAAAAAGTTGGCCATCTGTCTCACAGATGGCAGGAAAATTGCGCAACGAATAGTCTGCTGGCACGGCAAAAATGGCGGACACAGATGTACCAAGGATACCAGAAGGAGGGTGGAAAAAGAAGCTGCTACAGCGAACAACTTTATCTTAGCATCGGAATAAAATTTTTAATAAAAAAGGGATATATAACAAAAGAGAAAGAAACGAAAACCGATACGTCCTTGTTCTTCCTTCCACCCTGTCTCGGAATTGAGCCACCTATCCAATCCAAACCAATTCAGATGCATTATGTTACGCTTCACGTTCTCATCTTAATCATGTCTTGACTTCTGTCTAAATACCAAAACGAGTTCCTTTTGACCTTCATAGTTTGTTAAAAGATAGAAAACTTTCACAACTGGATGATTCCTCTTTTTTTTGAAAATATTTTTCTGTCCCTTGTTTTAGCCTCTGCAATTTCTATGTGCATGGTGAGGAGAAGGTGGAAATTTGAACTCTCTTTCTCTTCCACTTTCTGTCTCTATCCCTCATATATATATATATATTAATAAGGATAATGATATATAGGCATACCAGCTGGTTTGGGAGTGCATCTCACGTTAAAGTTTCATCGCATAATTTGATCTCATTCGCCGTCCCAATTTCAAGGCAATGAATGATATCACATTTCTTCCAAAACGTTGTAAAAACAATAGAACTCGCCATAGCACCTTCAGCCACAGCGAACAGGAGTCAGAACGGCCCAGTATGTTAAAAATAGAACATGGAATGAAAGTAAATATCTACATATTCAGAAATCGAATTCTTGCGAGTTAGTCTACAGAGAGGCGGGAGGGTAGATATCATATTCAATGGCTGGCATCTAGCTTGGTATTTAGAAGGGAGAAAATCGCGGGATTGGTGTGCGTAATGCTCCCGCATATCGAAAAGATCCGCAGATGTCCCGGTGGATGGGGGAAGGTAGGAGGCAGAAGGGAGTAGAAAGCTTGAAGATTGCAGATTGAAGTATTACCCCGTCCCGACAGTGGCCAGGAATGCCAGAAGAAATACCTCAAAAAAGCCTCGTTGGAGAGAATCACCGAGGCTGGCAAGTAAAACTTTGGCATTTTTGAACATGGAATCCCCGAAGCAAGGGATTGTGGAGTGGTAGAATGGGCCCAACTTCAATGCATGAAAGCTTCTTCTCCCCCCGACACAGATTCACCGTAGAGTTAAATATCGTACACAGCATACCCACAGCATAACGACCGAACCCTCACATCCCGGCCCAAAGAACAAACTAGCCCAACCAAAAACATTTTATATCAAATTCAGCACAGGTAAGGAAATAAAATGTTTATATGAAGAATACAAAATAAAAGGGAGTAATAAACCCCCGCCCCCGGGGGCGCGGTTCCCCCTCCTCCTTGCCTACCAACTCAAATACTTCCTCCCCCTTGCCCGTCTCCTCGCCAAAATCTTCCGCCCACTCTGAGTCTTCAATCTTGCCAGGAACCCATGGCGGCGCTTCTGCACGCGGCGGCTGGGGTTAAACGTAACCCGCTTCGCCCCCAGGGCTGCTGAGGCGGAGAATGGGCGGGTGGGGAAAGACGGTATTGATAATGATAGGAGCGGCAAACCCGCTGTTGTCGCGCTCGTGGGTTGCGCAAAGGCAGTAGTGGTAGCGGGTGACGGGAGGAGGCGGTGGAGTATTGATGGTTGTGAGGAAGATGTGGTTGATGTGGCTGCTGTCGGCTGTCGTTTGGAGAAGAGGTGGGAGAAGGCGCGGGATTGGGAGCGGGACGACTGGGATTGGGGTTTTATGACGAGGGAGGAGGCAGGTCGGCTGTAGTTATTATTAGCTAGATTTTATTTTGCGACATTCTGTTTCAGTCGGATGAAGGAAGGTGGGTTGATTCAATGGGGCATTTCGAAAGATTGGGGGGAGGGCGGATTCGGAGCAAAGAGAGTAGACATACCGTGGGAGAGATTCGAAGAGAGATTTCGCGGAGAAAAGGGAGACTGGCGCCCTCGTGCAGTGTAGGCACGCCATCTTGCCAGAGTGAATGTTAGATCCGTAGCTGCAATGGTGGTGGCAGCGGAGTGTTCTGATGTCGAAACATGAGCAGAAACTGGAGAAGTTGAAGTTGAGGTTCAGCGATGTTCGGCCAATGAGCGGGCCGGAAAAATTTTGCCCGAGATCTTTTATTTTTTGCTCGCAGCTTGGGATGATGAGATCTTTACTTAAATACTTCTTATATTAAAATAAACACACCCTGAAACTATTACTTCGTATACATCAATAACCTCCAAAGAATGAAACATGAAATAAAATCCAGCCAATATACCCAAGGAGACAATACCACCTCCCAACCCAAGCCAGCCGCCGCAACAGCACCAACCAAACGCCAATCCCGACGGGAGATTTCAAAAGCAACGACTCCATAAAAGAGAAAACATAGAATACGCCATGGCCTTCCAATCAACCCCTCACCCGCTCCCCCCAACCACAATCCACCCCTCCCACACAAAAACCCACCGCATCTCCCCCTCCGCCGCCCACGACTTCCTCTCCGCCTACCTCGACCGCGCCGCCACAGACCCCAGCCTACAACCCGACTCCACCCTCTCCGGCCACGGCCCCGTTTCGGCAAACACAGGCTCCGCACCCAATCTCATCATCCACAACTTGAAGCGTGTCCAGGCCGGACTGGCTGGGGAGGTGCTGGGGAGGGATTTGACGTTTGCCAGGTTGGAGGGGCAAGGGGGCGGGGCGGTGTTTGCGTTGCAGTCGAGGGAGATTGGGGGAGATGGGGAGGATTGGAGTGGGGAGGGAATAGGGAGGGGAAGAGGGAAGAAGATGGTTGATGATGGATGGCAGGATCTGGAGAGTTATGAGCGGGAACAGGAGGTTGTGGATGCTGGGGATGGGGATGGGGAAGCTGAAGAGGGGGATCAAGCGCAGATGCCTGTGCCGATGGATGTTGGCGGTGGCTCTGGCGCTGGGCAAGGGATAGGGGCGATTGATAAGGAGGAGAGGAAGAGGAGGAAGAAGGAGAGGCGGAAGGAGGAAAAGAGGGCTAAATTTAAAACTACGACTACAGGGTGAGGAAGGTGTTGGGAAGTGTGGTTGGGAACTATTCTTCATGCTTTCTTTCGGCTGATGGGATGGAATACGTGGTCGAGTGGGAGAGAAAGAAATACTTTGAATCAGTGAAACGCATTATAACCTCTGGTAAGATTTCCCTAAAGTTCCTTAAAACAAACCAGGCCGAGAAAGAAAAAGAGAAAAGAAAAGAAAAGAAAAGAAAAGAAACTACCTAAATAACCCTACAATTTTGTTTTCTCCCCCCGCGTCCTTAATATAGTTTCCCAATGTCTAACCATCACTTTAGGAGAAAAAGTGTTGCGGGCTCATCTGTCCAGCTCCTTCACGGCTCCCGATCCGTAGCCTTGACTGGCTTCTCGCTGTCTTCTGATTTACCCTCGGTCACCTTTCCTCCACTCCAGCCGAGGGCTGCAAGTCTTTCCGTCAGAATTGGATGCGAATAATGGTAGCTGGCATACATCCAGTCTGCGTCCATGGTGGAAAGGTTCTGAATCTGGAGCTTGAGGAGGGACTTGGCGAGCTCGGTGGAGTATCCAAGGTTTACGGCAAAGGCATCTAGCAGATTTTTAATTGTTTTATCTCATGTAAACTACGGTTTGCGTTCGGGATATTTATGTGTTGGGGTTGTTGGGTTGAGGGTTTGCTTACCGGCTTCGAATTCGAATTTTCTGCTTAGAATGTTCATTAGGAGTTTAACCACGGCGTCCATTGGGGCGAGGGCGTCAGAGAATAGAATAAAGCCAATCATAATGGGCATCTCGTTGATAAATCCGAAGTCATGGTACAATGATTTGTTGTTCACAAAGGCGGAGAAAAGAGCAAAGATGTAGAACATATGGAACTATAAAAGATAACCTAGTTAGCCAACGACCTCACTTTATAAGACGTAGTAGCCGCTCCAACATACCTGTGCAATTCCAAAAAGCTTAGTGGTGTGGTTAAGACTCCAGTGGCCCAACTCATGCCCCAGAACCGCAACGACTTCCTCAGGCTCACTCTTCTCAATCAGAGTATCATAAATGACAATATGCTTCTTCCATGGAAGCCCATAGAAATAGGCATTGCTGTGAGCGCTCCTCTTACTACCATCAATGACATGCAGCTCCTTAAGCGGGAACTTGAGCTTTTTGGCCAGGTCCTCAACACCAGCCTTCAGTTTTCCGGGTTCCAGGGGGGTTAGCTTGTTGAACAACGGCAGAATGGCAATTGGGTAGATAGTGATAGCGAATAGCTGGACAAAGATGCCAAAGAGCCATAGATAATAGAAAAAGCTAGTGCCAGTTTTCTGGACGATTTTCAAGATAGCGCTGATGATCGGAACTCCAAGAACAATTCCCAAGAATTGCCCCTTGATCATATCCGTAACCCATAGTTTGAGAGTCTGCTTGTTGAAGCCGAATTTCTCCTCAATGACGAAAGTGCTGTAATACGAGATTGGCAAAGACAGGATCGTGGTGATGATGTTAAAGGTAAAGACGAAGGCCAAGGTATGAGATATTTCTCCGGTGAAACGTTCGGGCATGTAGCGGGTGAGGAAAAGACCGGTTACAGCCCACAGTTTTGGCAGGGCATCGTAGTAAATGATTGCGAGGTTCTGGATTTGGCCATAGAGACCCGACACGAAACCGAATTTGGCCTTTGCCCGTCCATATGCCTACAGTCAATGGGGGAAAAGATAAACGTGTTAGTCAATATATTAACGACCAACACATAGAGAACAAGCAGACGGTGACCCCCAGCATACCTGGCTCTTATCAAAGACAGATTGCGAAACCTCCTCCTCCAAAACCTTTGGAGGCTTCGTTTTTTGCAGGATCCCATACTGTCGTAACGAGAGGAATCCTTCAAGGATGAACTGGCCGACCGAAAAGCCCACGATCACCTTCTTCCAGGGGAAGAATGGGCGATCTAGCAACTGCGCGAGTTGCTATACAACGCATGTTCCTATCAGTATGGATGTCCATTAAGTGTGAGGCGAGACGGGCAACGAATTTGAAAGCGCACCTGAAGGATATTCATGGCCCAGTAATTCAGTCTACCCGAGATGGAAAAGAAAGCTGCTGCCAGTGGTGTGTTAATGGACTGGGCAGATGGCAGCAGGTAGCAGGCAGCAGGATGGATACGAGGTGCGTTGTTCAGGAGTTGGAGACGAGCTCGGTCTTTGTATAAATATAAATCCAGATTAGATGTTCTGCGGCAGAAAGTGCCAAGACCGAGTCCAGCCCATATGGTTCAAGCTGGCCTTCTGATAACCATATAACTACGCATTTAACTATGTCCCAAGGAATATAAACTCCAAAATAATATCAGTCATACGAAAAGTAATTGAATTAGTAACCAAGAATCCGTAGACAGGTATCTATCTATTCCTGAAAATGGAATAGCCAAAGCCAGCCGCGTTCTATTGTTCCCCCCGGACCTTGTTCTAGTTACCAGTAACTAGTCACTATCAATTCGCCATGTCGTGATCGTCACTCCCATCTTCACTCCCCGATCCCTCCTCTTCATCGTCTTCGTCTTCGTCTTCAGGCTCTTCAATTTTAAATTCCTCGAGCTTGAATCCATAGTCATCCTCGAAGTATTTCAGATCGTGCACCTCTAGCTTGTATCCAACACCTTCGAAACCCTTCCTGAGAGGCTGTAGGGATAGTCAGTCAAAATTCACATGTAAAACTTAGAAAAGTAAATAAATAAGAAATTGGAACAGGAGTTGATAAATGTATATCTATATCTCACCTCTTCAAGCACTCTCCCACAACAGACTATAATATCTGACTTGCTCGGTGTGAAAAGGGGCAATATAAAGTCCCTCAGAATCTCCTTGATCTCCTCAATGCCAATCTCTCTTATCTTCCGCAATAGCTTCTCCTGGTAGTCACTGGGCAATTCTCGGATGACCTGGCGGACAAAACTCGCCTGTGCGGTACTGGCCTGCGTCGGCTGCTCGTTGGCGTAATCTAGCACAATGCTGCTGATGGCGCCCTCGAGGGCCATATGTGGGTCGAACTGTGTGGCTCCAGACAAATGGTCTTCGACAATTTTCTTGCCCTCCTCAAACGCCCTGTGGACATTTGGGGATCGGTACACTTCTAGGTAGAGAAAACCGCTATCCACGTTGTGTATGAACCGGGCGCCGTAGGCCAGACCCGTCCCGCGGATAGCTACCCACAATGGGCCTTCCACCGCATTCATATAGGCCATGGTAACTAATAGCGCGGGAAGCTTGGGGTGATTGTAAGAGTCCAAACCCTTGGCGCTAGTGAGTAAAAAGGAGGAGTCGATGGTTGTCATCGGAACGATATGCGCGATTGTCCCGGGGTTTTTGGCCGCATCCGTAAGACGATCTCGCAGTTTTATGATCGGATTGAGTGGTTGAGTGACATCCAGTCGACGAACAAATGGTTCCCACGCTGAAGAAGGTTTGTGGAGCTGATCCATATCCGCAATGACGAAGATTCGGAAATTTTCGAATCGGAAAAGCTGCTTCCTGATCTCTTCCATTCTAGAAACAATGACTTCAGGGGTTTTCTCAAGTAGGCGTTTTGTACGCTTCAGATACAAGGCTTTAGTTAGAGGGGTCATGGCACGGGAGATTGATTCCTGGGTGTGCGTGACCATCGTGTGCACCGCATCTACCATACTGCTCCCACTGCGCTTGGCATCCGGAACATCAGAGAGCAGCCGGGTGGTGATAGCCTTTAGCCGTTCCACGTCGAATATGGATTCCCATGAAAGTTCGTTTATGTAGGAGATAATAGCATCATACTTGTCTGGCTCCGCTTGGAAACTAACTATGAGCATCTCAGGGTTATGATGCCCCATGTCCATACCATAGGAAATTGTGTCCTTTTCTAGTTCAACGACGACCTGTTCAAAGGGAACTTTTTCTCCATTTCGAAGAACTGGAAGGTGGAAATAAGCTTCCATGTACACAGCCAGAAGTGGGCGCAGTTCTGCTGGCACAGAAGTTGTTGAGATATTCAGGAAGACCTGGATGAAGTTGCTAGTGACGTGTTCAAAGTGAATGAACAAGGGCGAGTTCGACATGTCCATGTCGACGATTTTTTGGATTCGGTTATTAGGACGACCCGCACTTAGAGCAACTCCCGACTTTGCTGTTGTCGTCTTGATGAAAGGGATGGATTCCACCCCAGGAACTTTGAATTTGGCCAGTTCTCCCTGTGGTATCTCCTTGTCGTTTTCTGCTTTGGCCTCCTCCAACTTTTTCGCTAATTGCTTTAAACCTTCCTTTCCAAGAGCTTTCTGCCGTTCCTCGACTCTGGATAGTTCATCGGCTTTCAACTTAGCGGCAAGCTTGGAGGAAGGTACGCCCAGTACTGAAACATGAGGGGCGTCGGATATCCATTGCTTGATAAAATCGCGCCATTGTTTGTCGTGCCATTTTTCCAACTCATCGTACTCTTGAAGGCTTGCGACATGGCGAAGGGTAGAGCCATCTCTCTTGCCGAACAAGAAGTCGGTGATGACATAGCTTGCAAAAGGGTAAGACGAATTCTCAGTGGAAAATTTCCAGCCCCGGCGCTGCCTTCGCACGCACTCTTTCATATATTCCATATCAATCTCATTTTGCATGGCCTCATTTAACACCTCAAAGAAGCGACGCTCAACATGCCCAAGTTTTTCGGTGGCTACGCTAGTGAGGGTAAAACAGATTTCTGTTCGAGGCGTCTCCGATGTGGAATAATACACAGCGCTTGTGAGATGTTCTTTCTCCACAAGGGTATTCTCAAGGACTGTAGCAGAGGAGCCCGCAAGATAAAGAAGAGCCACATTAAGCGCGCCACCTATGGATGTTAGCCATAGCGTTTAAGAAGGGGTAGATAGCGAGAACACTTACTTAAGAGGATATCACTGCAATCTGGACCAAGAAATCGAATCTCAATCTCGCCGAAAGATTCATCCGCCTCGGGGAATTCCACCTTTTCCACAATAGACGTGTTTAGCGGAGGTATTGGCGGTGAGTCTATCCACGGCCTTCTGAAGGGGTCACTAGGGCTTGGAATCACATCGAGGACCGTATCCTCAAAATCATTTAGAATTTGCAGCATGTTATCATGGTCTACTTCTCCTGTAAGGATCAGGCAGAGGTTTTTCGGCTGATACATCTTCCTGTGGAAAGAACGGATACGTTCTGCCGTCAGAACCCGGAGTTGTTCCATCATTCCGCCGGTTTCATAACGGAAACCAATCCCTTCTGGATACAGAAGTCGTCGAGATTTCAGATCTATCAATTCAGATGGATTATTCTGCACGCCCTGCATTTCTGAATATACCACACCGGCATCATTGCCTGTGCCGTCAACATGATACACTTCAGTATAGCAGCCAGCGTCAGTTAAAGTGGGAGCAACAATATGCTCCAGGTAGACGGGCAGAATCTGTGAAAATCCAGCCCAGCCTGCAGTAAACAACGTGTACGCTGTGTGGTCCGTAGAAGTCCAGGCATTTGTTTGTGAATAGGCTCTAGTAGCAAGCTTATCAAGAAACCCTTTGTATTGATAGTTTCTAGATCCCATGAAGCAAAGATGCTCTAAAGTGTGAGGTGCACCAGAATCATCAAGAATCTCTGTGGCAAGAACAAAATGCCCCCAAACCTTTGGGCCTTTTCGATCAATAACGACCACCCTCATCCCTGTCCTTTCGGACTCATACTGGGTGAAGTTCTCGGGCGAATAGTCAGGCTTAAACCTTTGGAGGCGTCTAAAATAATTCTTTTTCTCAAAAGAAGGCATCTTGACTTCTGATAATAGGTTTCTGGAGTGAAGGTTGCTGTAATGATTCCGGGCGGGCAGTGGTTTCGAGCACTAGTAGCTGTCAGCGCGATCCTCGAAATGTGTCGACCATCATACGTATCAATATCACTAAACTTGATAGCAAAACATAACAAGGTATAGTATAGTAAATAATGACATTTTTTGTTCCGTTTTCAGCAGCAGGGGCATGCCATCAGGGAACGCGCAAACCCGCACCCACGTGTATCTCCAGAACAACGTAGGTAGCAGGGCAGATACAGTTTTGCAGAGGGAATTCCTAACATGTAGATAAGGATTCCAGCAGAGGGGTAGTAGTGCATGCCGGTGGCATAAGGTCAAACATCTTCTGGACGATAGTAAATAGAGGACTTGGAGGGGGGCGCATCCAACGATATAAAAATCGAATGGAGGGGTAAATTGGGTCCGATATTCCACGATAAAGACTCAACAACACTTCAATGACACTTTCTTCTATAAACTTACATTAACGATCGTACTCCAGAGAACCTTTCTAGTAAAGAGAGACACGGTGCCGTTCGTTCAGTTTGTGTAGGAGAGCCTCGGTGGAAATAGAGGGAGGGGGTTTACTGATAGAACCCCGGTCAGGTGAGAAAGCAGCGTATGAATCTGGTGTGTTGCCGCATACGCTTGAAAAGAGAGGACACCTCAATAATAAATTATTTGTTATTTGTTTGAAGCAAACAACTTCGAAACTGTAGCCTTGCAGATTTGATACTTTGCACAACAAGGCTCGCGAGAGGATTTTCTCCCGCTTCAAAGTCAAATCGCGGGCCGAAAGTCAAAGTGAGGACGGAAGTCTTGGCACCGCGGTGACGCTGAGCTGTCAACAACGATAAATAACCACTTTTCTTATCCTCTCTACTAAATTCCGCCGGAGTTGCCTATTATTGACATTTGGTCCGTAGTTGCGCCCTTGGTGATTTGCGCATCGGAGCTTCCAAGGTTCTAAGCCGGATACCAAAACCAGTTCCGCCATCAACCAGCAAAAACGACAGTTTCCAACAGCTTCACAATGGCCCCAAAGATCTCCGATGAGGATGTCTGTCTAGCTATATACAAGTTTCTGACCGACGGATCGTTCCCCGAGGCAGAAAGTATCGTTTCCGCGGAGTTTCCCTCTACCGCCGCTGCCAAAGAGCTCCGACATATAGCCAAATCTAGAGAGGAGGTTGAGGTAGAACCCACCATATGAACTCCCTAGAGTACAATTGGTTACCTGAGTCTTAATTCTAACTTCTCTCGTCTAGAATGAAATCTCTCTGCTTAGTCGAGACACCGCATCAGATGTGGATGGATGGATATCCCAGGCAAAGCAGCTCCATGAGGATATTGAGCGGTCAAGATCAACGGCGCGGGAAATCATTCGACAGCATGAAATTGGACAGCAGCTTCAAGGCCAGGTTACGGATGCTTCCAAGAAGGTTGAACTGTTGGAGAATGAGATTGCTTTCAACGAGGCTGTAACGAGGAAGCTGGAGGACATTCGAACCATCGACTATCGCATATCCTCTGCCCTGATGGCTATTGATCAGGACGGTCTGGAAACTGCTACTGGGCTTTTCGAAGAGATTGAGATGCTAATGAAAACCACCGATTTACCTCCGACCACTCCTGTCCTCCGTGTATTATCTGGAAATGTGGCAGGCTTGCGGACTGCCATAGCGACAACTGCGCTGCAAAAGTGGAATTCGTTGGTCAAGCTTGACTCTAAATTAGGCCTAATGACTGTTGTCACTGACGACTCTGGTGCGTCTATTATACCCCATTTGCTACTCTATTAACTGATTCTAGCTAACTTGGCTAAAAGAACCCTCTTCCAACCTAGGCAATGTCCTCAATGCCCTTACAAAGTTGGACATGCTGGACTCCATTGTAGATTCCTTATATAGGGATGTTTATTCTTATATCCTAGATCCAGTCCTCTTACCACCTGGGACGGAAGAAGCCTTCACTATCTCGTGTGATGGAAATTCGATTCAATTGCTCCCTCAACCTTCAATCACTCAGCCAACTGACATTTTCGATACCCTTACTCGTTTCTTAAGATATCTTGAGGAATGTCTACCAGCTACAATCAAAAATCCCCTGAATTCAAAGTTAGCTCCGCCGATGATTTCATCTCTCATTTCGAAGAAGTTGCTACCTTCCATACCCGCAGATGTTGATGGAATGAGGGAATTTCAGGTGATATTGGAGCATATCCATAAATTCCAACAAGCCTTAGATGGCCTTGGTTGCCCCGGATCGACTGAATTAACATCGTTTACACAACAAATACCCCGCATATGGCTCAATCAGCGACGAATCAAATCCTTGGATGAAGTCAGAGTTGCTTTATCCACTAGCTCGGGGGAGACACGTAAGGTAGAAAGGGTGGAAACAGAACAGGTGTCTCAGAAGGATAAAGTCTTTTCTGAAAATTCTGATGATTGGAATGCTGGATGGGCCAGTGATAACGAACAAAGCAATGACGCCGGTACTCAAAAACAGCCCGTCAACCAGGAGGATGATGATTTTAGCGCCTGGGGACTTGATGAGCCTGATACGCTAGAGTCAGAACAGCAGAATAAGCCGGCTGGCGGTGAAGGAGATGAGGATGAAGACGCTTGGGGCTGGGGCGATGAAGATGAGGGCGCAGACCCTCCCCCAGAGTCATCTGGTCATGCGGCTCAACCTGCAGCTCATGTAAATGGCGGTCATGGAGACGGAAAGGATTCCCCCCGTCGGGAGGTCACTTTAAGGGAATTTTATACCATTTCGAATATACCCGATGCGATCATGGGGATAATTCAAAGTCAAGTCTCAGATTCTGAAAAGCTCGCATCAGCAGAGTAAGTTGATCCAATTCCAATTCTAGAATTGGCCATGTTTCTAAATTATCCTGTCCAAAAGGTATTCGAATCTTCCAATCGCTTCGTCCGGCCCTGCTCTGCTCTCACTCCCGACTCTGGTCACTGCAATGTTCAAGGCCCTAGCACCGATGTTCTACTCTCAAAAATTCACCGGTGGCCAAATGTTCTTGTACAATGATAGCATGTATTTCGCGGAGCGACTACGGGAGCTGACGGAGGCACATAATCTTCCCCGATTAAAGTCCGATACTGAAACCCTCGAGAAGTTCGGTAGAATTGCCTACAGCAAAGAAATGCAGGCGCAACGCACAATATTGTCTGATCTGCTAGATGGAAGCCAGGGATTTGGCAGTTGTTCCGTACAACCCTACCTAGGAGAGTGTGAGAATGCAGTCAGCGCAACAGTCGATCGGATGCGACATCTTCATAAAGAATGGCAGTCCATCTTGTCGCCATCTGCACTTCTCCAATCCATAGGCTCTTTGCTCTCAACTGTCATAAACAAGATGATTCTCGATATCGAGGACTTGAGCGATATTTCAGACCCTGAATCACAACGGCTTGCAGAATTCTGTAACAAGATTTCTAAACTTGAGGATTTGTTCCTTCCGGAATCTAAATCCGGTCAAAATACGGTTGGTGAACAATCAGAAGCTGTACCGATGACGGCGGTATATGTCCCGAACTGGCTAAAGTTCCAATATCTGACTAACATTCTTGAGAGCTCATTGGCGGACATCAAATATCTGTGGACGGAGGGTGAATTGCAACTCGAGTTTTCTCCGGGGGAGGTAATAGACCTGATCAGGGCGCTCTTTGCGGATTCGGACCATCGGAGGAGAGCGATTGCTGATATTCGCAGGTCTTCGCGAACATCGGCATAAATATATCTAGGATAATGTATTCATTAATTAATCTACGGGATGGTTCAGTACATCAGACAAATTTTGTTTAAGCATACTATATTCTCCATTAACTTATTTTAATTATTTTCTATTTCACTTGTCTCATGGCAATTTAAGCGCATTCCCGGAATTTGCACACTTTGCCGTTCCGGCCACCGTAAAAAAAAACCCACACGAGCTCCCATAACCTGGCGGTTGTCCACGATAAACTAATTGAAGTATAACAACAGGTGCTAGAAATTCAGTCTTATTACAGATTCCTTCAAAATGGACGGAATGGAGGATAATTCCCTTGACGTCAGCGTCACCGCGACGGAGCCAGTCCAGAGGCAAGTCCGCCTCAAGCTCACTTCGCGACATGAAGATATTGCCCTTCCAGATAGTACTGGACCAATTCTTGTGCCTACTGGTAAGTTCTTGTTCGACATTTTAGGAGAGCATTTGTTAGATAGTACTATTTTGACTAATTTTGTGCATATTGTGATTTTGCTGTGTGAAAGGCCTACGAAGATATGCTCTATCGACCCTGGTGAACAACCTTCTGGGATCCGAAAAGCCCATTCCATTCGAGTTTTTAATAAACGGAACATACCTACGAACGTCTATTGACGAGTACCTAACGGCGAATGGCATATCGGCTGAAACGACACTCGACCTCGAGTATGTCCGCGCTCTAGTTCCTCCATTGCATGTCGCCTCGTTTCTTCACGATGACTGGGTCAGCGCCGTGGATGTCCTTTCCGCTACATCGAGCGCTGGAAGCGGGTCTCGAGTAAATGCAGGCCAGGAGAGGATCTTATCAGCAAGTTATGATGGGTTGCTGCGGATGTGGAATATGTCTTCGGAGACAATTGCCGTGTCTCCATCCGCGGGCGAAGGGGGACATACGGCTTCAATTAAGTGCGCGAGAATGGTCTCGCCAAACCAGATCATATCATCGGGCCTCGACCGTACAGTGCGACTGTGGAAATACGCTGAAAGCGAAGATGGATTTTCAGCAACGATCACCCCACAGCTAGAACTCTATGGACATAAAGGGAGCGTTGATTCAGTAGCTGTACACGCTAAATCAAACCGTATCCTTTCCGCCTCAGCAGATCATTCGGTAGGACTCTGGTCGACGAAAAAATCAGACAGTCCAGCTGCTCCTGAAAATCTACTTCCATCAAGTGCAGTCCGAAGCTCGAAGAGACGGAAGTTAAATTCATCCGTCTCCGTTCCGCAGCGTGGACCGCTCGCATTGCTGAAATCGCATACCGCACCCGTCTCCGCTGCAATATTCGATGCGAAGGACTCCACCGTCGGCTACTCTACGTCGTGGGACCATTCGCTGCGCACCTGGGACCTTGTCACGAACGCACTAGTCGACACACGTACCGCCTCCCACTCCCTGCTATCAGTCGCACACATGGCTGAACTCAGCCTTCTGGCCGCAGGGACCTCCGCGAGACATATCACACTAATAGATCCGCGCGCATCAGCGACGACGGTCTCAGCACTAACGCTGAGAGGCCATACAAATGCTGTTGTTTGTCTGGCTCGTGATCCTGATAGTACCTATGGATTGATTAGTGGCAGTCACGACGGGACATGTCGGATATGGGATGTGCGGTCGACCAGGACGGATAAAGATGGAGTTATGGGCGAAAGCATCTATTCGATTCCTAGGAAGAGCGCGGAGGGTGTTGGGAAACGCGTTGGTGGGGAAGGCGTTAAGGTCTTTGATGTCTGCTGGGATAAATCTGTGGGGATTGTCAGTGGTGGGGAGGATAAGATGATACAGATTAATAGGGGAGAAGGGGTTATGCCGAACGAAGACAGTGCTAGATAGTTTTCTTGCATGGTGGTTGTTAAGAAAAGGACTGGGAAATGAGGATGGAAATTTTACGTGTTGCATATTTGCTTTTAAAAGATTTTATCTATTGCGTTGTTCGCGAAAGCGCTCGTTGCCATCTGTTTACTTCACAAATGCCTCTAGATACATAGAAAGATATCATTAATTACCAGAAAATAATTTCTTTTACATTCCCAAGTCTATGTTGTAGTATACAGTACAAAAATAAACGCCATTTGCAAGACCCAGGTAACATACAATATATCCAAATGAAAAGAGAGAAACACCATACGGCTCGCTACCTGGGCCCCTTGAGTCCAAGTCTTCGGTCCAACTTGTTGAGTTTGATCGCCGTTTTGATCTATAAGGTCAACGTTAGTAAAGGATATACAGCTCATGCCCTCAAAGAGGTATTTGCATTGGAAATGCTCTCCCAAGGAGAATAAGACCGTGTGGGAGAAAAATCAAAGTCCGTACCTGTGACCTCGTATTCTGTCCGCGAACCGGCAAGCCGAGCGCATGCCGTCTACCCCTAGTCGTGCCAGTATCCCTCAAGCGTCGAATGTCATCCAAGATCTGCCGTCTCAGGTCGTTTTCAATCTTCATTTCCGAAAGTGCCGCTGTCAAGCTGAGGACCTGCTTGTTTGCCAGATCGCCGATTTTCGCCGTCTCGTGCACGTAGAAGCGGGCCATGATTTTGTTGCATGTCAGCGGGCCAATGCCGAAGAAGGATTGGAGAGCTTGCTGTTCGTTTACTCGCGTTAGATAAAGGGGACTTTTAATAACTTCTTTTTTCTTTTTCTGGACTGTTGCCTTTTTCAGGTGGTTATGGGGCAGGGCATTGGGGGGTTGGATTGCTTGCCTTGACGAGCTGTCGCTCGGGGAAGTTGATGCCGAGAATAAAGACCTTTTGAAAAGATGTTAGCGGGGATCGCAGTGGGCAATTTAGATGGTGCGATAAAGACATGGGTGCGATGCTATTTGCTCACCATTTTGGCTACCAGCAAATCTGCTTGTCCTTGGTGTGGATGCCGGCAAGCACAATTGGATCCGGGATGTTTCGTTCGTGATAATGAGGGTTTGATGGGACATTAACTTGATGCACGGAACAATGTTACTCCGCTAGGCGCCCTCTCGGCCAAGCTACTACAGAGATGCAAGCTGGCCTCGAGCTGATTCTCCCATCCACACCAGGCTTTGCCCTCTAAAACCTATTTTGTTATACAGCTGTGCCTGTATACCTGCAGCCATGGCGTCCTTGAAGCGGATTTTCGTTCTTGCGTCCCTAGTCTTGGTGGGCATCTTTCTCTTCCTGGGGAAGAGTGTAGAAGCCAAAGGCCCCAAGATAACCAATAAGGTGTGTTTACGATGTACTCCTTCTGCGGTTGAGGAGGTCCTAATTGCTTGAATATAGGTTTATTTCGATATCCAACATGGAGATAAGCCTATTGGGCGCATTGTAATAGGACTTTATGGGAAAACAGTCCCGAAGGTAAGCAGAACATAACCCCTTGTTTTTGTACTTCTTGTCTTGATAGATACAACCATGGGCTTCACTAACATCTAAATTTGATGTATGATAGACCGTAGAAAATTTCCGGTAGGGAACATATACACCTTACTGTCAATACTGAAACTCCAATAAAGCTAACCGTACCCTGCAGCGCGTTGGCCACCGGTGAGAAGGGATTCGGTTATGAGGGCTCTACTTTCCACCGAGTTATCAAGGACTTCATGATCCAGGGTGGTGATTTCACAAAGGGTGATGGTGAGTAGAGATGACTTCTCTAGAAATAGTGAACATTGGAGTTTGTGTATCCATACTAATAATTGGCAAAAAGGCACCGGCGGCCAGTCCATCTACGGCGAGAAATTCGCTGATGAGAACTTCAAGCTGCGACACACCAAGAAGGGTCTTCTGAGTACGTCAAACTACCCCACGCCATGACCCGGAACGAGAAGTCTTTCGTGTACATTATCGATTAACGTATATGCTTTTAGGTATGGCTAATGCCGGAAAGGACACCAACGGTTCTCAATTCTTCATCACAACCGCAATCACTAGGTATTTGTCTCCCCGATAAATCCCATGAATCAGGTACATATACTTACATTCCTACGCCGCAGCTGGCTCGATGGCCGCCACGTCGTTTTCGGCGAGGTTCTCGAGGGCTACGATATCGTTGACAAGATCCAAAATGTTGACAAGGCGCCTGGTGATCGACCCAACGAGGCCGTGAAGATCGTCAAGAGCGGCGAATTAGACATGCCCAAAGAGCAAGGTACTGGACATGATGAGGTCTAAACCTTATGATCTGTTTGACAAACGAGAAATTCAAAAAAATAAAAAAAGACGTCTAAATGCCCCGAAATACAATGTCTCTCCCTGCTTTGTCGTTGTGTGCTATGTATCGCTGTTCCAGCGCAAGCAGATATCATGTTAGTTACTGTTAGTTTCTATATATGCATTCGCTGATGCTCTGGTTCTTTTTCCCAACTCGTCTATCAAGGCCGTCGTGGACCCATTCCACAATTCATCGAGAACCTGAGAAAACAAACCTAATGGCTGAGAGGACATCTTTGGAGGGGTGTTTCGACGGAGAAAACGGAGGATGAATGTTTCGAAGAGGCCTCGCCTCACATTCACTTTGCAACCCGTTGAGCCCCGCTCACTTCACCAGTATCAAGCGTAAGCGGTGTATTTCGATCGAATGATGGGGAAATGTAGCCGAAATATTGAAGGGTGGCAGCAAGTTTGAGTTGTGTTTCTAACTGGCTGTCAGGTCGAAGGAGGCCCCTTTATCTCGAGGCAGTGAGATTTGTTTATGAATCTCTTTCTTCGAGCTCACAGCATAATATCCTCCGGTAGACTGAGCAGGTTGCCCAAATATTATTCCCCCCTTGGAGTCCTAGCTTCCCAGATCCCTACAGAATGCATCATAACCTTCGCGCCTCTACCCAATGTCGGATGTTGCTTGCCATGATTTTGTCTATCGCCGGCGCCCCCAATCCTGTCCCACTCACTGACAACAGCCTACAAAGATGAGACGCTCCTAGCGTGAGGCTTGCAATCAGTCCAAATCAAATTACCTTCTCGAGGCTCCGGCCTGTGTTAATTTAACTGATGATTAAAATGTTATTTTTCCTTTCTTTAGTAATTTGGGCTGTGGTTTCTCGTGTTCAGGAAGTTACATTTATATTTCACTTTTCGAAGAAGTCCACTGCCGGACGGTGCGAGGAATGCTGAGGCCTTTAAGGGGTAAATTCCTGCGAACAAGTCCCTGGATTGTGTTCAACGATCCCATGGTGTTGAAGGCGTGCAGGATATAGGAGCCTCCTCCAAGTAGTCAAGTAGTGCTACTCCACCCGTCTTGTGGGATTATGCCTCTGGCAATCTATTTCACTCTGGCCTCCTGAAAGATGAGAGGGCCGTGATTCGCCTGCTCGCAGAACATCCTCATCCAATTATCGAATCTCACAGGTGTGGTAGGGCTAGGGCCTCGATTTGAGAAGAGAGGATGTCTATTGGAATATATTCAAAAACATTCTGTGAACAAATATATATATTTTTTATCTCTATGCCCACCGCATCGTGATCCCATATTCCCGTGCTCTCCATCCAGAAGATGGAATACTCTTACCGCAAATCTAACACCATCCAACTCCCTCTGAAAACGACATAGGCCGCTGGGTTGGGAGATCAGACAATAACATCACATTCAAGCCAAGGGGACAGCCCACCTAGACAAATACCTCGGCTGACAAAAGGAGCAAAGGCCCCAGAAACCTTTCGCATTAATAGTTGACAGGAACTGACTGGCTGTACAAGTGACGGGACCCGGCAGCATCCAAGAGGTATGGAATACTATTAATCCGTGGAGCACCGACGGCTTGGTTCAAATCAGCCCCCCTTCCAAGCAGCCCTATATTCGGGCTTTTCTGAGGCGCATTATATATCCAGCCTGTTTAATTCTCCGACATAAACCGTATTGTTTGTGTCATTGCTTGCTAACTACCTATAATAGATATAGGGATGGACATGTACGTTCGCGGCGAATACCATCCATCTTTTGACATATACGTGTCACCAGAGAATGTCGTGGCGGCAAAGCTATAGAGGACGCTGGACATAATTTTTTTTACAGGCTCTGAAGGGAAATTTGGACCTTAGTTCGAATAATGCATAATGCTCTCTCGTATGTATATAAGGCCACTATGAAGCCTACCCAAAATGACACTTATTGCATTCTCATATGAATGGGGGAGAAAAAAAGAAAAAAAAACCATATATTTTGAAAATATGAGTTCCACTGGAGAACCATATGACGCAAGAGCCTATGCGCAGCTCATTATTGCTCCATGCATCGCATACCAAACTCGGCCTATCTACATACTGTCGCCTGTGTATCTTCTAAGGTACGTTACCGTACGGAATACATAAATGCCAAAGGGGTGAGCAAATAAAATAAATAAATGAATAAAGGTTCTAGAGCCTCGTGCTATACATCCATATATGTACATGTACTATACAGAGTACAGCAGCTTCTACTTCGTCCCCGGCTACTCACAAAAATTCCCCTAACACAGAGTTTCAATTTCAAGCATAAGTCAGGAACCAAAGGTAAAGAGAAAAACAAGAGGGTTAGATGCCAATCTCACCCGGTTTTTGGGGCTCCAAATTGTGAATAACTGCCTGCTTAAAAGGTGACCCTACCCATGGTTGTCTTGTGCTTGGTCTCTATGCCATATGCATGCCGATGCGATGCCACGCCGGGACATGATCAGGTTCGTCTCCTTCTTTTCCTCCATGACATTTCAATTGCAATAGGTATTTTCTTCATCGTTAATCCAAGTAGCAGGACAGGAGTCACAGATTTTGCTGGAGAAAAAGGGTTTGTTTCGCAAATGAACAAACGCAGCCACCCGCTCGACCTTAACGGGCCCATGCCTTTTTGTTGCATTTTTCGACTCACTCACACATATAAGACACAACACACAACACTGTCCAACAGAGCCATTGCACCCTGGAGGAGACTCGAATTGCTTAACTCTGCTACGGCTGGCGCAAGCGTGGATCTCACAGAGAAGGAGGCAAGGGAAAAATAAAAATGCAAGGCAACTCGTCCCAATGCAAGTCGCCTCGTTGCCACGGGTATTGAATATGCGCTTCCCCTCGCCCTGGTTCCCATCAATTCCACAGTTGTGCATAAAGTTGACGTACCGTACATGTCTTGTACGTGCAGTGGTACATTATTAGGGAACAACGTAACAAAGACGTAGAAGACGTAGTCGGGGATACTTTTATTTCCCTTTTTGGTCGTTCGTAGCGCAAAGATGGAGAAGAGAAAGAAAGACAGGAGCAGAAAGACGAGGAGGCGGGAATGAACTGGCAAAAGGAAGAATATCGTGCAATTGGCTGTAGTTAGTCAGTATAACACTCTCATTCAGGTAATTACACGGAAGATTGCATATCTGACGACATACGGCCCGCTGCAAGTATGGCCTCTTTTGAAATCGTGGTTGGTGATCTGCTCCAGCTCAGGGGTAAAAGAGAATCGAATGGAATGGGTATAAATGAGAAGAGAACTGCTTCGTTTTTTTTTTTTTTTTTTTTTTTTTTTTTTTTTTTTTTTTTTTTTTGTGGATTTTCATTCCTTTTTCTTTTTAACTATTCCAGCTCATTCCTGCGATTAAAGGATAGTGAAATATACAATGAAATAACCTTTTGCATATTTTCTTCACGATGGTAGCTCCCTGAACGTGCACCCCATACGCTGTAGTTCCATGTAATGTACAGCACGAAGGCATTTATTTCCCCTAAATGAAACGGAGAGAATCAACAGTGGTGTCTTATTGATACATTATTTGAGAAGCAAAAATGCACAGTATAGGATACATTTAGCACAACAAAGCAACCGGTGGAGATATTTATTTCTTTACAGAATTGTTGAGTCCGTAATTGATAGTACGGAGTAGTTGGAGGTGGATTTAAAGCTTCATTAACAGCCGTCGGCTAGTTAAACGGCAAGCTTAAAATTTAACCTGATATGGGTTTTTTTTTTTTTTTTTTTTTTTTTTTTTTTTTTTGGGGGGGGGGTGGGGACCCAGTTGCATTCTTAACATTCTAATTAAATTTGATATAAAGACGGGGAATATGGAGTACTTGTGAGAAGAAGACGAGAAGTTAACAATGATTGATTATGCCTGCGCAGACTTATTTAAACCCATACATCATCATCATCATCATCGCTACTGATTCCATACCTGCAGCTGGGTCCATCACTTTTGTAGTACAGTAAGCTGAAGGCATGCGGCTTCGTGGAGTGCTATTAAGTGCACATCCTCCGTAACTACATTACTCCTTAAATTTATTTACATCAATATCAGAAGATCTGGAGGCTGTGTGCTCCGTACAGACAGACTGCGCAGTAATAGCACTGAATACTTGTGGATTACCGCGCCACGCCTCATTCCTTTTGCATTTATCATAGAGCCGAACTATTCCTGGAGTATATCTAGGTAAGCGGACTGTGTGTGTGTAGAGATCCCGTTCTTTTCATGAATAGTGCATATGATAACTCCTCATGATGCCCAGCTTTTCTCTAATAATATTAATCAACAGCCCAGGGGACGCCAGGAGAACGACGCAATAATGAACTGGAAACATCCCCAGCGTTGGAGGAGCTCGGAAGCCCCCGTAATCTACAATCCATCGCTATCCAGAAGCCAAGGTGAGTGGCTTCGTTAGTTATAGTTAACTAGTTACTAGTGTTAGCGTTTGCCCGGTAGCTTTTCTCTTGCAGACCATTCAGACGAAAGAATGGCTTTCTCAGACTTCCAGCAGTTGATCTAACTCGAAGCCCAGCCAAACGAGATAAGAATGAAGGATAACTTATAAAAGACAGGATTATACACAGAGAGAGGTGCATATACATTAGTTCTGTGTATACTCCGTATGCTGAAAAGAGTATATACGCTGTACGCTGCGTATATAGAAGAGGGCTCTGGGTATTCCGCCCTTGGGGGTGCATAACTAACTTATACAGAGCATGTCTGTCGAAAGCATTTCAATAGCAGAGATACATATATCTGTGCATTGCTTCCATCTTCCAACCCCTTCCGTTTCTTATCTTTAATTAGTAAAAGATACTACGTGCAGTACATTAATATTAATAATTACGGAGTACTCCGTAGCCTGTCAATAGGAGAGCTACTGCGTATATCACACCGCAATGCGATGCTTCATTGTTCGCTGCGTTCGGCGAGTCCCCCGCCGCCCTCATGGCAAACAAAGGAATTCCAGTCAAGGATCCTTGCTCTAAATTGGCTTTGTTGACTACGCAGTAAAATATTTATTGGAATTCGCAAGGTTGAGACCACACCCAACCCGTTTCTCAGCCACCATACGTTTTTACTAAAACTCTCTGTCACTTATTAAGCCCCGTCTGGTCGCTGGCAGGACTGTGCATTCATTTGACCGCTATCCGAGAGAAACCTCTTCTGATGGTTTTGACGTACTGCTGCAGGCGAAGCCATTATTATTAATTGTAGTAACACACTGGTTGTCTGAGCCGACTGATCATCGAAAAGCCAGGAGGCGCTCGTTCGGCCGCTGCCTCTCTGGACTTCTGCGCCTTGTCCACAGCGTCCAGTTCTTTTAAGGGTCTTTGTTAGTTACGCAAAGGAAAGAAAAGAAAAGAAAACGGCAGAGGCGCCGAGTGGTACACAGATTTGTTGTCCCCAAGGAATATCCCGATTTCAATTCCATTTTTTGCCTGACTAACACTGGCTTCCTTCTTCTTGCTCCCTTGTTCTGCGAACTGTCTACGGATTACTCTGTAGTTCATCATTCATTCATCAAATCCGTTGAGAATTTCTCACGTACTGTTCCCTACTATATCACTAGTTGCGCTTATTCTCCCTGACTCGGAGGAGGAAGTACTGCTACCTACTGGAGCTTTCCTCTTGATATCACCCTCAGCAACCCCATTTCTGAACAGCCAGCCTTTCTTCCGCTTTGATGAGCTTGGTAAAAGCAGCTAGCTCCAAATTTACCATAAATAACTTGCTTTTAATAGGGCCACCATTGACATTAACGGTGACGATTATCGTCAGGGCGTTGATAACCACTGACTGCCGTTTGGCACTTTTTTGAACTCAAACTCAACCGTCCGAATAGCCAACGAAACATCACGCATTGTTCAAGGCCTATGCGCAAAAGGTTGTAGGATTTGGAGAACAATATCTGCATCCAACCAACGACGTCGAATCCTGCGCATCGCCTTCTCTTTTATGCTCTCAATTCCCCCTTCTTTCGCGAAACTTACAGCCACGGATCCTAACCAACGAGAACGGAATCGAGAAAACGGTTCTTCATACATTTGTGGCTTCGGCAAAGCCTCATGTCCACTTCTCGGACGAGGTAAGTTGTTGGGACAGGGCGGTCTATGGCTGTGACATAAGTGTTCTAAACTTTGCTTGAACGCCGGTGAGGCAGGATTTTGTTCACTTTCCCTTTCGTGATTCTGGAAGACGGAGAATAAGAGCAGAGAAGTAACTTCAACTCCCATAGCTGCCAACTATGCCTCCCAGAGCCCGAAGGACTCGACTGACGGAGCGTCGTGCCGCCACAGCTTCAATAAGAGCAGATAGCGATGCGAAGGCTCATGGGATATTCCACTTCGTCAATGTCAATCCATCATCTGAGCTCCAAAAATCAGAAAACCGATCCGTAATCCGCTCGCACGCTAGCAAATATATCTGGCGTCAGCATCGCGCAGGTCGTACAGATGGCAGCAACCCCAATTCTAGTGCGGTCGAATCCGCTCACTCATTAAAAGAACCCCTAATATCTTCACCCGACTCGTATGGTACTGCGAAGAAAAGGCCATGGCCGCTATCACCAGAGACCCCTGGTGGCGAGGAGCCTGTACCAGTACTCTCTCCGTCCGACGAACCCAACATATCTCCGCCCGATGATGAAGATATGTCACGCTCTACGGAGACCCCGCGCGTAGACGAGGATGTTGGCAACAATGGAGATGTCACTCAGCTTGCTCGGGACGCCCAATCGGCTCAATCGGGTATGATATCGGCAGCAGATATATACGAACATGAAAGTAATACGATAGCGGGTCCATTTAACCAGCTGATGACATTTATCGGGGAGCCGGGAAATCTTTTCCCTTCCATGCTTGGGAGCTCTGCAATTAGCAAGTTGATGCGATACGGTGAGGCCATATCCCACCTTTTCTCCCCATTTTTGGAGCAACCTACAATTGCGGTATCTCCTCATGAATCTGTACCTGACAAAGTGACAAATCTAGCCGCCTTTGATCTTTGGCCTGGTCTCGTACTGGGTGCTAAAAACCAAAAATGGAGCCGAGAAGACGTCGCGCAAAGCTGGCTTCACCGAGCAATGAGCCACCCTGCCCTATTCACTGCATTTTTATACGGAGCTGCGGGCCACTTACAAACGCGCAAACGGCTAGAGAGTGTTTCCATCGCCCCTCAAACGCGCGAGGAGAAGTTAGAACAGATCGTCTGCGAGACAGAGACCATCAAACAGTTGAATAAAATGATGCTCGACCCGCAGCAAACATGCACTGACGAAGTTATCCTAGCAGTACTGTGCATGGCTTTTAATAAGATCGATTACTCCAAGTGGATATCTGACACTGACCCCGCTCCAAAGGCGCCCTTGCGCAATCTCCAATGGCTCGATGTATATGGCGGCCTATCACTAAATGACCAGCACGTCAAGGGGCTTTTTGCATTGCTCCACACAAGAGGTGGCCTAGATCAACTCAAGCTGCCCGGGCTGGCAGAAACTCTTTCAACGTAAATCCTTCTTCCTTTTCCGGTTTTCATTCCATGTTCCGCTCTACTTGTATTGAGTCTCACGAATCTCACCATTCCATAGATCTGCCATAATGCTCTCAACCAAATACCTTTCGAAACCCCGGCTCCCTTTCGTCCCAATCTTCAAAGATAGTGCCACCGGTAAACCGCCGATGTGGCCAAACCTCTCCTCAAATACGTGTCCTATGCCAATTAATATGATAAATCTGGTCTCGAATATCCAGCCCACCCCCTGCCTCGGCGACAATGGTAGTAACAATATTGAGGCAATCAACACCAGCGACATATTCACACAATCTAACCTCCCAACCCCCCTAACAACCGTCCTGCGCAATATGCAAAACTACAGCGCTGTTGTAAACCTACATAGCCAGGGTCTCCTCCCCTATCTCGAGCTCCCCGTGATCGCCGATAGACGCAACTGGGTCCAATACGAGCTCTTGAGTCTACGGCCCATACATGAAATTAACGAGTACACAGAAGATTCTGAGCCCAGCAATCCTACCCCAGTAATCCTCCAGCAACAACAACAACCACATCAACAACAACAACAACATCCACAGCAACTACTGCTGCAAGCCTACAACTATAAAATCTACGAGCCCATCCGCCTCGCAGCGATGATATACAGCATGCTCGTAGTCTTCCCCCTACCAGCTGCCAACCGACCATTCGTGCGCCTATCCCGGATGATGAAAGCAGCGCTCATAGCCGCGGAGATCGAGAACATCACCCCCACCCCTGCCAATCCCCGAATCACCGATCATTGCTGGAGTAGCGCGACGGAGATGTTGCTCTGGGTGATAGTGCTAGGCACGATGGCAGCGCGGAATACGCCGAGTGAAGACTGGTTCGTGGAGCGGAGCAGGGATGTGATTAGGGTTGTTGGCGTGGGGAGTTGGGAGCAACTAAAGGGGGCGATGGAAAAGGTTCTGTGGATGGATTGCGTGTGTGATGTAGGTGGGTTGGCGATATGGAATGAGGTGGGTGTGGGGAGTTAAGGCGAGGTTGGGAGCCAGAGTCAGCGCGTGAATGGGAATGGGATGCTAGTTGGTGGGATGGATTGGGTGGTTTAGCATAAGCAGGCAGCAATGTGGGTTTGTAGAGTAGAGCCTTGAAAGTGGTTTATGATGAATGCCTCGATTCTTGAACCGACCAGACCACGATTTTTTCCTTTTTTTTTTTTCATACCGGGCCTCTACTTCCCTCCTGCCCGTTTTACTTTTTAGCGAAGATTACTTGTAATGGACATTGAATAGGGAAAAGGGATTTCTGATTTTGCAGTTGTTGAATAATAAGTGTTTAAATATTTTCCGGGTTTCTTGCCCCTTCTTTTCTTTCTTTCTTCCTGTCTTTTTTTTTTCTTTTTTTTCCCCCTCTTCCTCCTCCAGCATCTCTTCCCATTCTACATCTCGCCTCTCATGTTCCCCCCGTATATTCCTTGGACAATTGCCCTTTCCCTTATAAATGTAGTTATCCATCTCTGGAGAGAATGACGTTCTATCCAATGGCACTTCTGACATCTTGTGATCATTAATAGAAAGGATTGACATTTTCAGCTACGCCCCGATTTTTTCTCCAATAGAGAGTTATGAATTAAGTACATAAGAGATAAAAAGAATCAATCAATGCCATAAGCTAGTCCTCATGTGAAAAAAATCCTCCTGCGAGGATTTAACGAAAATTTGCCACGTGATTGATATCGGCAAACGCGCTAGAGTAAGCCAATAAATAACATCTAGTTAACAGCTGGGATAGTTAGTAAAAAGATCTCTATCCGAGATCCTTGATGGCAGCGGGATGATCAACGCGCAAATGCAGGATATCAAGAACGCAATAACAGCTGCTGCAAACTAACTACGGCGTCACCATAGCAAAGGCACAGGCACAGGCACATTCGACTCTTCCCATATATGTATAACGGTTGGGCGGGACAGCGAGGCCGATTACGAGCGAATCTATATATTCTTGCAATTGTTTCTAAGAAACAGATAATAGCCTCGGCATTGAAAGAAAGCGAAATACGGCCGAAGTGTGAGATAAACTTGCTTGCCTTTGGTTCTGACATGTAACGAGGAAAATCTGAGTGACTGATAATCTCGAGCGCCCAAGCGTTCTCACGATGCTCTGGCTGGAGAGTTAATCCCTAGCCGTGGGGGTCATATCAAGCTGTCAAAGGGGCAGAATTTTGTCATCATGTCACAATAACGTCCTCCTCCCCAGATTCAGGCGAGTGACAAAACGCTCAAAACAACAATAATGCGCAGTTCCATTCCTCGTCACGAAGCCTATTATCAAAACACCTGTGCAAGCTCGGTTTTACAGGGGTCCATATCCATGAGCATGCCTGCCAACATAGCTTAAATCCGTTTCCCTTGCCGCGCTACGAAGTACTACGCCCGTATTTGAACCCAGGGCTTCCCTTAACTCCGTTTAGTTCCAACTAACTTTGTGCCAAGCGCGCGCAGATACATACCATATTTTGACGACTTGGGCGCATCTTAAGAAGGTTCAGCCTGCCAGGCTCTGCTCGGTCTCTGACCCTAGAAAACAACAGACCGCATTCTGCAGTGAGATCCCGGATTATCAATCTTTGCAATTTGTAAGCTTGCTCTTGTGCGGATGACGTGCTGCCCTTGACATCACCACCATACCATCCGCCTAGTATCCTCGGAGTCGTGAACTGGAAGTGTTCCCAAAGCCCAAAAGAACACCACAGTTTTCCGAGAGATGACGCCGTTGAAGTACAAGATGAATCTAGATGACGCATCTTACATTCATTATTCTATCCAGCATGTGATGGCATCTGATGAAAATAATGCATTCGACTACAAATAGCCCTCATTCCACCTCCGTTGAACTCACTTTGTTGAAGTCGTGGAGTATTAGAAAATAGGTTCGATACAAGATAGAGCTCATCATCTCGGAAAAGTGATATTGACCGATTGATTTACTTTAATTTTACTTTTGACTATATCATCGCTTCAATTCCAACTCTACAATGTCTCCGACTCTCAAGAATGTCATTGTTGTCTCGGTGTGTATCTTATATCCAGCCACAGCATACAATCGTATATCATGGACGAATATATAACTGACAGATGGCTGGCTAATAGGCAAGTGGGAGAGTAGGGTATGTCTAAGCCTACCTTATGACGACACATCAAAATCAATCCCATATATATCCCCCCTGACCAACGCTTACCGTGTGGATATAGGGCCACCATTGTATCCGCTCTACTGAACTCCGCTCATGGGTATGCCGTCTCAACTCTTTCCCGGGAGGGATCCAGCTACATCCCACCAGTGGGTGTCACAAGCATCAAAAGCGATTACACGCATGACTCCTTAGTCAAATCCCTAAAGGGTCAGGATGTTGTGGTATCTGCCATCGGAGCTGCTGCCGTGCTCGAGCAAATCAAGTTAATTGACGCCGCGATCGAGGCAGGGGTGAAGAGATTCGTTCCCAGCGATTATGGCAGTGATACGCGGATCAAGCACTCACATTTGCGCGTGCCCTTTTTTCCGATGAAGAATCAAGTCTTTAAATATCTAGAGGAAAGGCAGCACAAGATTGAGTGGACTGTTTTCCTTTCAGGGCCTCTTTTGGATGAGTGAGTGCCATCAATGCAGAAAACCCATACCAAGAGACTTACTCCTCTCACTCTGGCAACGGGATTTCGTGTGCCCTCTTACTACTTCTCTCTCTCTCTCTCTCTCTCTCTCTATATCTCCTCTCTAATTCCTCACAACTTATCTGCACATCCACAGAACCCTTAGAGTCGACTTCCTCGGCTTCGACATTGCCAACAAGACCACAACGTTCTGGGACGAAAGATACAAAAACGTCCGTTTCTCAACCGCACGCCTCACCCTCGTCGCGGACGCGGTCGCCCAGGCCCTCTCCCCCGCCATCTCCCCCAAAACAGCGAACCAACTCCTCGCCATCCGCGACGCCACCGTGACCTTCGCGGAGCTACTCAACGCCCTCGAGGCCGCCACAGGTTCCCCATGGCCACTCAACCACGCCGACTTGGACGAACTGGTCGAGGAAGGCAAGTTGAAGGCTGCAAAGGGCGATTTCAGCGGGGTCTCGCATATGATTGTGCGGAATATCCTGGATGTAGAGTCTGGGGGTGATTTCGATGAGAGGGGGATTGTTTCGAATGGGTTAGTCGAGGTCGAAGGGTGGGGGTTGCAGAGGGTTGTTGATGCGGTTGTTGCGGAAGTTCAGGGGGAACAATGAGGGGATATAGTAAGTTGAGGGAAGGGATGTTAATGGAAGTTTGGTATATGACTACGATGATTTGGAACCATATTTTATGCCTCTTATCCTCTCCCTTTTACCTTTCTCGATTAATTATATGTTTTGCTCTTTTTATTTGTTAAATACAGCCTATCCATCAGACCCCTTCCACTGTCACAGACGATCTACGCCTGATGTGTACACGGTACGAGCACGTCTCCAAATTTCTACCAGCCAATCCCTTTTCATCAATGTACAGGGCGGTTTTTACCAGCCAGCTTTCTACACGTGCACCCAAAAATACTTCTTTCCATTTCGAAGGGTGCGCACAACATGGAAGTTTGATATGGAGAATACAATTTATATGCCCCCTATCAGATAAACATAAGTTGACATTAAAGCTTTCATACATTTCTTGACACTTTCCGGCCCGGGGCCTACTAGGTACCTATGTATTTGAGCCATAGTATCGTATCCCCTATCAAAAACTCAACCTGGAGGCTTCAAACGGGGAAAGTGGGGGGTATGGGTATTTTAATCTACAACTTTTGACATCAAATAACCCCGGGCTAGTAACAGCCCCTTTGACAGGGCGCCAAATTAACCATTCCCCTCAAAACCTAAGTCCTTTTTCATATAACCTCACGGTTGAGCTTTAAATTTTTGCTTCCCCAGGGCACCTAGTTGCAAAGAGGAACATGCTCCGTGTCTACCTAGGTACCTACCTCGGAAAATAGGAACCTGCAGCAAATTCCCGTTAACTTCCGACGCCACATCTAATCTTGTATTTTCTACTTGATGTCCTCATCTCACGCCGAAATACTTCGAGGTGGGAAAAAGCTTCAAAATTGCAAATGCGTAGCTAACCTATAGGCTGGTAGCCTAGGCGGAGCGGGAAAAGGAGGCCAATGTCAAATTTTCCCTAACTTTTTATGCACCGTATACGTACATTAGACATTGCAGCCAAAAACGAGAAGGTGGCGGAAGTGACATGTCGTACATATGACGTTGATGCCTTTTGAAATCCATACCCTACGGCAAATAACTAGGGCAACGACGAAATAGAAGCTCGACGGCGAAGATAACAGAAATGGTAGGTATATAGCCGGGTGGTTTTGCATGATATCTTTTATGTGTACATGGCTTGATGGCTGTATAGTGGTGGCTATGGGATATGCTATTATGCACCACCGAGGAGGGGGGAAATTAGGAAGGAAATAAATAGGCTTTCAGTACGGAGTACGGAGTAGGAAATCCAAAGCTTCAGCCCTATGAGGATATTATTATTAGAGATCCCGAAGGTAGGTGGCGTCCAAGATTTCAAAGTACGTAAAATAAGGTGCCCTGGCCCGAGGACAGACGTAAAAGTTTGGTGAGAAGTACGGATACAGCCCGTAGTTGAATTACTGGGTCAGAACAAATCTTGGGCCTTTGATCAGAGGGTTTTTACAGTACCTAGGTGTTGCTTTTTCGGCGAAATCTCGAAAGATGGCGAAAAAGGAGAAGAAAAACCACAAACAGGTCACTCGGCCATATAAAATACATGGCAGAGTGACTTTGCCGCTGATATGTTTTGAGTTTTTGTTTATTTGGCGGAGGCGAAAACAAAAAAAGGGAAACTTCTGGATTGGGTTTAGGGCCGAATGCAGCCAGCTGCGGCTCAACCAACACGAAAAAAATTCGTTCCAACTCGAACTTCCGTCTTCTTCTTCTTCTTCTTCTTCTTCACTTCATCACAAACTCCACATCTCTCCTCCTTTCTTCTCTTTCTTCTATCCTATCCATCTTCCCCCTTTTCTCTCTTCCTGTTTCTCTTCTTTTTTCTACTTACATCACCCCCCCGCCGCGAATAGACTTTTAGATCTGAGAGATTGTTTTCCTTGTAACGAACTACGAAATCTCGTTCAGGTCTTAATTTCTTTTACTTCCATCGTCTACGAACTTCTTCTCACAGGACGCCACTTATATTTGAGTGTGTGAGAGACTTTCCAGAGAAAGAAATATATTAATCATATTCCCATACACAAGACGGTCTCTTTCCCATTCTCTCTTTTCGATAATATACCCAGAGGAGAAAAACCTCAAAAAGCTCATCTCGACCTTCCTTTGATAAAACGCTTTTGTTTCTTATTACGTCGAGATCTGGCGTGTTCTGTGATTCCTACCGCTACTACTACTACTACCACTACTACGACTTAATTTTATCCACTTGGTACGTGTTGTGTTGCCGTTGAGATTTTCTTTTTCCTTCTGAGAATCCGGATTTTTTGTTATTCGCCCTCCGAGACAAAATCGCCACTGACTTTGAACATATATATCTTCTTTTCTTCAGAAAACCAGAACAACTTCCAAATCAAGTTTCAACCCACAGCAACCGCAAACATGGCAAACGGCTTGAATATTGGTTCTCTCAAGATCGATGATCCCCAACATCCTCCTGGGCCCAACCCCACCGGCCGATCTGCTTATATCCCTCCCCATCTACGCGGCAACGTCGCTCGTCCTCCCATGGGACTGGATGGAAGTGCTCCCGCTCAAGGTGGTCCGGGTTTGAACGCGAGTGCATGGGCTCCAAATAACGCTGGGTAAGTGCCTTTGTCTATTCAGATTCGTGGCTTTCGAACCGCTCGAAACTCTTGACAACTGTATTTTGCTAACGATATGCTAATTGTTTTAGTCCCAATCCTGGTGCTGGTCCTAACTGGGCAAATGCTCCAAACTTCACTCCCCGTGATCGCCCTCCAGGAGCTCCCCCAGCCATGAACGGCAATACCACCTGGGGCAATGCTCCTCCCCGCCAGTTCAATGCAAATGACTACGGTAAACCAGGCGCCAGCTCGTTCAGAGGATCCTCATATGGCGGTAGAGGCGGAGGAGTTCGTGGAGCTGGCGGACATGGATACTGGGACGACGGTGGAAACCACGTTCAGGGCCCGGAGAACAAGCGTCTCGAACGCGAACTTTTTGGCGAGGCTGACGATCCCACTAAGCAACACACAGGTATCAACTTTTCCAACTACGACAACATCCCTGTCGAAGCTAGTGGCCATGACGTTCCAGAATCCATTACCGCTTTCACCAATCCTCCCTTGCATGAACATTTGCTGTCCAACATCCTGCTGGCCCGCTACACAGTTCCCACTCCTGTCCAAAAATATTCCATTCCCATTGTCATGGGTGGTCGGGATCTGATGGCGTGCGCTCAAACTGGTTCCGGAAAGACTGGTGGTTTCCTCTTCCCAATCCTTTCACAGAGTCTCCATAGACGTGGACCCGAAGCCGAAGCTACCAGAGGATTAGGCCGTCAGCAAAAGGCGTACCCAACTGCTCTGATCTTGGGACCTACTCGTGAACTTGTTTCTCAAATCTACGACGAGGCTCGCAAATTCTGCTACCGTACTGCCCTTCATCCCCGCGTCGTGTACGGAGGAGCTGAGATGGGAAACCAACTCCGCCAACTTGACCAGGGCTGCAATGTACTCGTCGCCACCCCGGGACGTCTCGTCGATATGATGGAGCGCGGTCGTATTTCGCTGGCCCACATCCAGTACTTGGTATTGGACGAGGCTGACCGTATGTTGGACATGGGTTTCGAACCCCAGATTCGTCGTATCGTGCAAGGCTCCGACATGCCTGATAAGCATATGCGTCAAACTCTCATGTTTTCCGCCACCTTCCCCCCGGATATCCAGAAGTTGGCAGAGGAGTTCTTGAAGGATCACATCTTCCTTTCCGTCGGGCGTGTCGGCTCCACCTCTGAAAACATCACCCAGCGCGTCGTCGAGTGCGAATCCGATAAGGACAAGGACTCTGCTCTGCTCGACATCCTTTGCACCGACTCTACGGGGCTGACCCTCGTCTTCGTCGAGACCAAGCGTCAGGCAGACATGCTCTCCGACTTCTTGCTCGATCACCGTCTCCCAGCTACTGCCATTCACGGCGACCGCACCCAGCGAGAGCGTGAGCGTGCCCTTGAACTTTTCCGTACAGGCCGCTGCCCCATCCTCGTCGCCACTGCTGTCGCAGCCCGTGGGCTTGATATCCCTAACGTCACCCACGTTATCAACTACGACCTCCCGAACGAAATCGACGACTACGTTCATCGCATTGGTCGTACCGGCCGTGCTGGTAACACCGGTATCTCCACTGCCTTCTTCAGTCGCAGCAAGAACTTCAAGATCGCCCGCAGCATGGTCGACCTGCTCAAGGACGCCAATCAGGAAGTGCCGGACTTTTTGGAAAAGCTCGGTCGTCAAGGTAGCTACTTTGGCTCCAGCGGTGGTGGTCGCGGTGGTGGTCGTGGTGGCCGTGGTCGCGGTGGATCAAGCACAACCCGGGACATTCGTCGCACGGGCGGTGGATTCGGTGGAGGCATGGGTGGCGGCCGCCCTGCCTATGGAGGATACGGCGATTCCGGTGCTGGGCCCTATGGCTACGGCGGTGCCGGTGCCGGTGCCGGTGCCGGTGGCTACGGAGGCGGCTACAGTGGTGGATATGGTGGAGGCAGCTATGGTAACCCATCCGGCCCCACTGGTCCATCTTCCTGGTGGTAGATTTCTATTCCAATTTCCAAAAATCCATATCAAAATTCAAAGATCTCCTCGAAAAAAAAAAAACGGAAGGAGATATGCAAGAAAGGAGAGAAAAAGAAAGAAAGCAATTTTATGTTTGTTTCTGGTCTTCGACGCTGTGGCCCATTACAGTTAAAACGAAAAAGGAGAGTTTTGGTTGACTCCCTCCTCATTTCATCTTCGAGCTTATAGACTAAGTTGCGATGTTAACGCAACCAAAACCGTCTCCTAATTTTTGCCCGGGTGGCATTTATTCCATGGATGTTACCCACCCTCAGGAATTTACCTTATCGGCTTTGGTCATGACTTGCAACGAATTTCCTCTTTTTTTCTTTTTTCTTTTCTTCTCTTTCCTTTTCATTTTCCTTGTTTCGTTTTTCCGTTTTTCCACTTTTTCTTTTACATCTGATATTTCCTTCCTCGTTTTTCCTCGTTTTCCCTCGTGCTTGCTAGTGCGTGCACCAGATTCCTTGACCTTTTTTTTTCATTTTGCAGCTTGTTTCCTAAAACTGAGCAAAGATCCACTTTTTTTCGTGTGTAATTTTCCAATATCGTCTTCTCTTCCTTTGTCCTTTTCTATTTGACCTTGTCATTGTTTCCCATATGCTCTATGATGCAGTTTCGCTTTACTATGTTCGTCGTTTCTGCCTTATTTTCTCGCGTGCATGTTTGTGCGTATATGTCTGTCTGTCTGGTCCAACGGGGCGGCTAACGTTTTGCATGAAAAAAAAAGATGCCCAACAAGGGGTGTGTCTACGGTTTTGGGCGTTATATTTTCCTTATCCTTTTCTTTTAAACAGCAAAAGATAACGAAAACTTGCGTCTTGCTTCCTCAGTTTATACGGCATGGTTGTTGTCGTTGTTTTCTTCATTCCTTCTCATTGGCTTCATCGTTCGTCGTTTTCCCCGTGCTTCAGGAATATTTCTTTTATAACTTTTCCCTTTCTCTGTTTCTTTTGTCTTGTTGCCACTATGCATGAACAGAAAGGAAAGGGAAAGGCTTAAAAAAGGGGAGTGGGGAATTAAAGAAAGGAAGAAAGAAAGAAGTGCAAGATGCAGGAGCATATTATCATCCATCATCATAGACCAGCGTTTGAACGTATTTTGATTTTTGTTTTATTCCCTACCTTCTGTCTCTTCTGTTTGTCCGTTTTTCCTCCATTGTTTCTGTGAAAGGAAGAGCAAAATATAAAAATTCGAAACGGAAAGCCTGCCCGTTCTTATCAGATACTCAGATACCCATGATATCCCTCGAAATTTCTCTTTTTCTTTTTTTCCCTTTCCATTGTCCTCTTCAAAATGAATATCATCTGGCCGCTCATGCTCGTATTCACGCACATTTCCCCTTCTACATTTTATTGTTCTTGATAAAGCACTGGCGAAAGAGGGCGGGGGAAGGAAGTATAAGTGAAAGAAAAAGGGAACCGATAGAACGGCTGGGTTTTTAGACTTAGGTAGGACCTAGTTATATGTACCTGCACTGCAGGAGCCTGATAAAAAAACATATATGCTTTTTTAAAAGAGAGTAACAAGTTCGAAAGCAACGTGTTTTAATGATGATAGGCTTATGGAGGCGCGATTGAATTTGCTTCAAAATATCCAGGCCAACTTGATTGATTGTAACCAGTTATATGCTGTTTTGGAATGCTTTTGTGACTGCCCGAACTGCTGATGGATGAAAAGCAAACTCCTCGGCCATTTTTATATCCAGGGCCGTCCTCACGTCTGTCTTGTTCATGAACTTCTTGGAACGGGTAACTACATCATCTTCAAATCGAGCATCTTGAGGCTCAAGTCTATAGGTCGCCGTCGACCTGGATTTGGTACCCATATAGCCAACGACGTGGCCGTATGGCGTACGCTCAAAACATCGAAGGAAGGAATATCAAAAAAAGAGCTTCAGGTCCCGCCAGAGGGGAATGGATGTGCTGTGTGTTTTTGGAGTTCGTGGCGGCCAAAAAATGAGCCTCTGCGAATCTCAACGACGGATGACACGGAGAACAACATCGCATGTTTGTCCTTGAGGATCTTCTTTCAGATAAACAGATGGAGGTCATGATAGGGGTAACTATCATCATCTCGTCTAGGGAGGATTGTCTGGGATGGGATTCTTCAATCGAGTGGTCATGGTAGAGAGAAGCGCTTTTGGCAGTTAAATAGCTGCAAGTAAAATATAAAATAGCCTGCAAATCTCTTTTGAAACAGCTCATTGCCACTAGCAGCATCGCCTAAATAAGGAGTTATGTAGATCTGGAGCTGCAACTGAAGTTAGTTGAAGTTTTTACTAACGCGTTTTGATCTCATACTACGTCTCGGTGGACGTGAAAAGCTGCCAAAGCGCGAAGATGATTAAGGGAACAGAACAGAAAATGATATGAGTAAATGAGTGAGGCCATGGTGAATACGCTGTTTCTCAAGAACAGGTAAATTTCAGTTGCTATTTAGCTGAGCCTTGCAGTAAATAAGTTTACTGTACGGAGTAACTATATTTAACTAACTATTGTGAATGAGGCTGGTCGATCTGGCGCCCATTTTGACTTCAACCAACTTTTCGAACTTCATTCTTCCACCAACCTCATCTCACCACACTCACCTTGACCAAACCTCTTACATGCCGTATCTACAATGACCCTACACCTGCTTATCTAGACCCCCCCCCCCCCCCCCGTATCCCTCAGTTTTGCCGCATTTTCGACCTAAGATACAGTTGACCATGGTGCTCCTCACGTCTTCGGGAATCTCCCTTGCAATATCAACGCCTATCATTGGCTTATTTACCCTTCTTCTATTTTTATC